CCAGCTCCCTCAGCCCCTCCTGGGCTCCAGCCCCTTCCCCATCTTCATTCCCTTCTGGTTTAGGCTGCAGATGAAAATATGAAACACTGAAGTCAAGATTGTTGAATGCATCTGATTCATGCTGGAACTACTTTATACAGACAAGCTTTAGTGTGACTTATTAGCAGTGCTCATGTGATCAGCTCTGCATGAGTTTTTAGTTGAATTGCATTTCATTCTGTTGGTTTAGAAGATCTCATTGAACAGGAAAATGCTTCTTTGCTTATTACACACCAGAATTTTTTCTGACAGTTTTAGATAATAAGTCATTGGATATTTTGTGTGTGCAGGTGATTTTAAACTACCAGGGTGTTACAATTTAAATTCAGCTTTGTCTTTGTCCAGGAAAGCCCATCTTGTATGGATTTTAGCAGTCCCAGGATTTCCATCACGTTGCCGTATTGTCAAACCAGCAATTCTCTCTGTAACCCCACTTGGGGACATTGATCCTCCAGCAGCTTTTTCCAGCTCAAGTGGACACTGTTTGTGTCTGCTGTGTTTTTACAAATGCTCTTTTTCCTCCTAGTGTGTGGACATAACCACAGCCATGAACGACAGAGCCGTGGCCCAGAAGAGGCTCAATGAGAACTCCTTTGACCTGGAGGCCATGTGCATGCTGAACCGGGCACAGGAGCAGGTGAGCTGGGGCCTTTGGCAGCACCTGGGGCAGCCTGAGGGAAATCAGGGCTTTCCTTTCATGGCAGCTGGTTCTCCTCTCCTGTTTCAGTCTGGAAACCCAGCTGTGGGACAGTGTTTCAGAGTTCTGCATTTCTGACACTGAGTTTTGATGAGCTCCTTTGTGTATTCTGTGTTTGCACCCAAGTCACTCTGAAAAATAGATGTAATTTTCTTTAAGTTTTGTAGTAGTTCAGCAGCACAGATGGAGGTAGTTGTTTCCCAAACAGTGAACTCAGCAGTTTGGGGGTGAGGAGCTGGAGCTCAGGTTTCAGGGTGACCTTTGAGATGCTCAGATTTTGGTAGCGCCCGCTTCCATCCGAGCGTCAGTGAGCACACCAAATCCCACCAACGTGCTGTGACAGCTCCTGGGGGCACAGAGGGGTGCAGAGGGAATGTGGAGGTGCCAGTGCTGATCCCAGTGTGGGTTTTGCTTTGCAGATCGATGCCTGGGCTCAGTCCAACTCCATCCCCGGGCAGTTCACGGGCAGCACGGGCGCGCAGATCCTGTCCTCGGACGAGCTCACCAACAGCGGCCCCCAGGCGTGGATCCGAAAGGTAGAAGTGACACAGCCACTGCTGTCCCAGCAGTGACCACACTGGCAGCAGCCAAGGATGGCACAGGGCACCACCAGTGCCTCACCCTGTGGCAGAGCACGTGCCCAGTGCAGCAGGCTGGGCTCAGTCCCTGTCCCTCGGTGTCTGTGAGCGGCCAGACACGGCCTGCCACTGCCAGGACACTGCTGGGCTGCTGTGCTGGCAGGGGCACGTCCCTCCCTGCCTCCCTGGCACTGGCACATGCCAGGCAGGGCTGATCCTGCTGCTGTTGAAATCAGGTTTTTGTTATCGGCTTCAGCGAACCAAAGTCCAAACTGCCCTTGGGTGTGCCTTGGTTGTCTCTGGTTGCTTTTTGCCTCTCTCTGCATCACCAGGGTTTTCTGGGAGCCAGAGATGTGGAGGATTAAAGCAGGAGTTGCAGTTGCGAAGTTCCTCTCGCTGTGGCATTGTTGGGGTGCAGTGCAGTAGCTCCCTGTTGCTGTGGGTTGTCATGGCTGACTTTGGGCTGTGCTGCGTCCTCCATCCGTGTGTTCTGTGCACTCAGTTCCTCAAGCTGCACCCTTGCCTGTGAGCTCTGATGTGGTGCTCTGTCAGGAAGGAGATCTGAGGAGATCCCCCTTGCAGGCACCAGGAGTGAGGGGCTGAGCTGGTCAGTGTGGCAGGTGCTGCACTTGGGTCTGTGTCAGCTTGGGTTGGGGCACCCTCCAAGCTGGGAGGTCAGATTTGGGCCTTAGGTGGAGTTTTCCGTAGAAGTTGGTGTCAGCTGAACACAAAAGTCTGGAATTACAATATTCTGAAAATAGAAACATTTTCTGTCAGGATTCACTAACTTGTTTTTTCACCTCATATAGCCAAGCAGTGCAGAGAGCCAGGGAACACAGACTTGGGTCACTGGCCAGATGGGAATCTTCTGGGACCTTGCCAGTGTTAATGCAGAATGTGCATGATAGAGTCTGATTTTAACAGCTGTGAACAACTGAGATTGTATTAAAATGCTGCCTTTGATGAAGGCAATCCTTGTTCTGGCAGAGGGCACTGTGAAGCACAGGATGTGTTGGTGAGGAAGGAGCTTTTCCACAGTGGGGCTTGGGAAGGAGACCAGCAGGGCTGTGAGGGGAGGTTCTCCCTGTCTGCAGCACCTGGAATGGCTTCCCAAGCCCTGGAAGGCCTTGGGAGCAGCTCTGAGCTCCTCTTTCCCAAACCTCCTCCCTGGGCTCTCCTGTGGCAGGAGGGGCTGCCCCAAGGGTGAGGTGGAAAGGACCTGGTGTGATTTCCCTGTCCTCCAGCTTCACTCTGGCATCTGCTTTAAAGCAGCCCAGCTGGACAAACCAAAATAACAGCAAAAAAAAAACCAGATGCAAGCCAAACAAAGTGCTTCAAGGGAAGGGAATGGGAGAGGAGTGTGCTCTGTGCTCGTGGACACGACTGCTGCAAGGAGCAATGCTGGAACATTCTGTTGGGTCTGGGCTCAGTGGGGCAGCAGCAGCTCCCCTGCCCTGCCCAGAGCTGGGCATGTGCTGTGGGCACAGGGCAGCCTCTGGGGCTCCTGCTGGCAGCACGAGGAGGCGGAGGGTGAGGACAGAGTCCCCTCCCTGCCCTGGCTCTCCTCAGCTGCTCTCCTGCTCTGCCAGAGCTGCAGGAAGGGTGGGAAAGGCTCACACAGGTGCGTGTGGGGCCCTGCTGTGGCTGCAGGAGGTATCACAGCAAGGAGCAGGGATGTGGTTCTGAATCCACGTTATCCTGCTCAGGGACAGGAACACACACCAGCCATGAGGTGCAGAGTGCTGGCTGTGTGTTACTTGGACACCTGAAATTGCGTGACAACGACCAGTTACAAGTCAGGCTTGTGCTCCCTTTTGTGGTCCCTTTTTGGCCTAAAAACTGTGTCTGAACATTAAAAAATTGGGTATTTTTCACTCAGGCCAGGAGTTGGACTTTGATCCTTGTGGGTCACTTCCAGCTGGGGCTGTTCTGTGTTTCTGTGGGTTTATCTGCCAGCAGGGCTGTGCAGTTCCCTGGGGATGCTGGGTCTGGGTGAGTGCACATTTCTGGCTGTTTGCTGAAGGCATTTCTTTATTTCCCTTGGGAAATATTTATTTGTTTGCCATGGGAGGAGCTGGGAGCACCCAGCACAGACTGAGCCTGTGGCAGCCACTGAGGAAAGGAGGAATCAGAGCAAGGCCTGGGTGTGACAGAGGCACCACAGCACCAGGAGAGGGACCCGGGAGGGCAGCAAGGACTTGGGGACTCCTTTGCTGAGCTCTGTCCTCACTGTGCACTTTGTGGGTCTCACCTTTCCTTGTCCTTTGCCAGGGACTGGAGAGGAAATGTGTGCTCAGCCCAGACCCAGAACCTCAGTTTGGGAATGAGGAACTGCAGGGATTCATGTGCAGCACTGGGGTGGGGACACTGAGCAGCAATAAGGTTTATGTGTTTAATTCCTGGACTAATTAATTCTTGGTGTTTATGTGCAGGGGCCTGAACAGGGTCCATAAAAGAGTGATGTGGTGTTAGGTATAAAAAATTTATGAACAATCTCACCTTTCTCTTTGAAAAAGTGGCTTCTGTTTCAGTTTGTCACCATCAGTGTAATCAGTTCACAAACGTGACTCATCTTTTCTGAAGGTTGCTTCTATTTTTATTCCCTTTTTCCTTCCAAACACACTGTGCTGCTGAAGAAATGGCACAGCAAGTGGTCAAACATTTTTTGTTTCTCCAAGCAAATTCTGTTGAGGTCTGTTTACTCCCCCTTTCCCAGACTCACCCCTTGGTTCTGGATTTATCAGCTCAATTCTGGAGCCTGAACTTGCTCCCCAAACCCAGGGTTGTGCTCAGGGGTGGCCCTGGGGAGCTGCTGGGTCACTCACTTGTGCAGAAAGTTCTGGAAAGTGCAAACCTCCCTTCCATTCTTGCAGGCATGAGGAGCTTTCCTTGGCTCAGCTGGCAGGGCAGGACAGCTCTGTGCTCACTGAGGATCTGGGCAGTGAGGAATTGTTCCCTGGCACAGGGTGCCCAGAGCAGCTGGGGCTGCCCCTGCATCCCTGGCAGTGCCCAAGGCCAGGCTGGACACTGAGGACAGTGGGAGGTGTCCCTGCCATGGCAGGGGGGGCACTGGATGAGTTTCAGGATATTCCTGTGCTGGCAGGAAAGGCTGGCACAGCTGGCATTGCTCACCTGCACAGGAGAAGCTTTGGGCTGAGCTCAGGGCGGCCTTGCAGGGCCTGGAGGAGCCCCAGGAAAGCTGGAGAGAGACAATTGCCAGGGGATGCAGGGACAGCACACAGGGAATGGCCTCACACTGAGAAATTACAGGTTTAGATCAGATATTAGGAACAATTTCCTCTCTGTGAGGGTGGGCAGGGCTGGGATGGAATTCCATCCCTGCATCCCTGGCAGTGCCCAAGGCCAGGCTGGGCACTGGGGACAGCAGGAGGTGTCCCTGCCATGGCAGGGCTGGCACTGGGTGAATTTTAAGCCCATTTTGACCCATCCCAGTGTGGGTTCCCTGGAGGTGAGCTGTTGCACTGGCTGCTCTCTTTCCCAGCCATCCCATCCCCGTGTCCCTGCTGTTGAGCAGCTCTGAGCAGCACCTGTGGGTGCTGGGGGCTCAGGGCTTGTGAGGCACTGCTGGGCCCCTCCAGCAGGAGATCCCTGCTCTGGCTGGGGAGGGATTGGGGCTGAAGGGGCCAGAGCATCTCCCAGCTCAGCAGCCAGCCCAAATTCCCTGCAGGAGCCACAGGGAGCAGATCAGAGCTCCCAGGGTTGTTCAGGGCCAGGAGCTGCACTTGGATGCTCCTTGTGGGTCCCTTCCCATCACTCAGGAGATGCTGGGATTTCATGGACAATTCTGCCTGGCACAGGTTTTTCCAAACTTGCTTATTCCTGGAACTTGAACTTCCCTGGAGTTCAGCCTTTAGTCCTGCCCTGAGCTGCCCCCCTGCCTTCAAGGCTTTGCTGTCTTTGCTTCCTAAATTGTTGTTCCAAAGAGGAATCAGCAAGAAAGTTAATTAAAGCTGCTCTAAAGCCTCTGAAGGAATCAGGTTTTAATTTCCCTTTAAAGCAAATGCTGACACAAGAATGTGGCTCTTGAGTGTCTCCATGTGTTGGCAGAATGGAAGTGGGATTTCATGGAATTTAGAGCTCAAAATACAAGGAAAAAAGTATCAAATTGTCCTGCAGGCTCCCTCAAATTAAGATCAGAGAATGAATGAAAGAGAAATGCTTTTGTAAATAATGAGTTAGTTCTGACAGCAGTAACCAAATGCTGACAAACCTGGGGCTTCTTGTATTCCACCCCCTTTAATTTATACTGACGAGGCCCAGGAGTTTTTGGGAGACTCACCCTTGGATGGTTTTTAAAATGAGAAGAATTGTGCCTCTTGCTTCCCTGCTTTTGTGAACATTTCTGTTGATTCTGTGGTTTTCAGTGAATCCAAACCCAGCCCCAGTTTTACCCCACTCATTAAATCATGGGCTGAGGGAAGTTGGCTGTTACTAAACTACAAAAACATACAATGTACAGGTGGCATTAGAGGTTTACATTCACTTTATTATTAAAAGAAAAAGAAAAAACCCCACAGAATCAAAATGCAGGAACTTCTTCCTTGCTGCAGGCCTTTGCTGCCTCAGTGAGCTGAGTCCAAGGGGATTCTCCTGGCTCCTTTCCCATTGGTACCAGGATTCCTTCCCCGTGCCTTTTGGTGGGAGGCACAAGGATTTGTGTGTTCTGGAATGAAATTATTATTAATAATAATTGTTAGACATGTAAGTCATGGTTGTGATTAGAGTCAGCACAAAGTTGCTGCTGCAGTTCCCCTGCAGGATCCTGAATTCCCCACGGAAGGGATGCTTTAACAAACAGCCCTTGGGACCCTGGAACTTGCAGATTGCAGTTTCTGGAGTTAGTTCAGGCTGTGCCAGTGCCTCAGCAGGGACTCAGGGCTGTCAGCAGAGCAGGATGTTGTGGTCCTGCTCTGTCCTGGCTGCCCCTGGGCCGGGCCGTGTGTGGGAAAGCCGCGGGAGCGCAGTGACCTCAGCAGGAGCTTGCAGTGTCCTTTGTGAACTGAACACACCCCGAGGTGCTGCAGGAACCCCGCAGGAGCCAGCCCAGACCTGCAGGGAGGGAGTGGGAGCTGAGGGAAGGGCTCTGGGTGCTGTGTGTGAGGGGCTGGCTCTGCACCAGCCCCAGCTCTCCGGCCTCGTGGATCCACGTGGATCCACACAGGGCTCTCCTGGCCCAGGCAGGGATTGGGACATTGCTGGCACAGGCTCCAGCAGGGCTTTGCTGGCACATTCTGGCAGCCTGCAGCGTGGGAGCAGGGAATCCCTGAGGAACACACAGTGTGCCAGAGGGAGCCCTGAGGCTTTGTTCCCTGCCCGTGGGCATGCAGGGAGCCCCAGTCGTGCCCTGGTGGCGGCGCCAGGCCCGTGCTGAGCTCCAGCAGCTCCCAGGGGTGCCCAGGCTGGGCTGTCGGTGCGGGGCCAGCGCTCGGAGCCCGTGGATCCCCTGCAGCAGCTCAGGAGTGTGTGACTCTGGGACTCCGGGACCTCCTGGCCTGGCAGCTCCAAGGGCAGCAGCCCCGAGGCTGTGCGGGTGTGCCCGGGCAGCGAGCCAGCCCTGCCCGGCCGTGTGGGGCAGGCCAGGCCAGGCTCTGTGTGATGGAAATGCTTGACTTGCTCTGGGGTCAGCGGGGGGGCACGAGAGATGATAGTTCACAGAATAACCTGTGAACTTTCACCCCTCTATATGGAAACTTGTTTCAGGGTCAAATCCTTGTAGCCGCCTTCTTGCCACGGTCAGTGCCAGCCCTACTATTCACAACACTGCGGCCAGCGAGGCCTAGGTACGTAACATTTAAGGAGTTTTTACAGTTCTTTACATCAAAGCAGATGTTTAAACTTTCTGTTGATAAGCTTTCACCGTTTAACAACTTTTGTTAATGCTCATTTGAAAGAATGTGACGACTGCTGCTGCTAAACTGGGGGGCCAAGCGCCTTTTTCCGTTAAAATAAAGAGAGGGGAAAGCAAAAGCTGTTTGTTCCATGTGGAATTTCAGAGTAGAACTTGAATGTGCAACTGCTGTGTAATGAACCAGGTGGGGAGAGGTTTTTTTTTTAGATTTAAATCCGCCTAAACAGCCTGTGAATGTCATGACTAAATGTGCTTGTGTTCTGTTGGACGAGGAGGTGCCCTGGCGCGGCTGTGCCGGGGTCGGTTCCCATTCCCGAGCTGAGGACATCTCTGGGACCAGGGCAGAGTCTGTAGAGCCTTTAGAGTCTGTAGGTTGTTGCTTGGTTAAACACATCTGTCTGCCAAGGGTCACTGCCACTTTGGGATCACCTTAGACTTTTCCTAAGTTGTTCTTTTTTGCCAAACATTGATTTGTGTCTCGTGTGTCCGCGTGAGTTCCGGGTTCCACGCACTGGTTTGGGCTAAAAATCCACAGAGCTCAGGTGGATTTTTTTTTTATTTATTTTTATTTTTAATTGAGTCTGTGAAAAGTTGTTAGAAACATTTTTTTTGGAAGTTCCCACTTCTTACTTAAAATCCCAGCGCTAACTTTAGGCCTTGTTTTACTTCTCTCTTTCTGGATAGGATCAGTTCTTAAGAGCAGCCCCTGTGACGGGAGGAATGGGAGCTCAGCTGATGAGGAAGATGGGCTGGAGAGAAGGAGAAGGCCTTGGCAAGAACAAGGAAGGCAGCGTTGAGCCCATCATGGTGGACTTTAAGACAGACCGAAAAGGTGAGTCCTGCCCTGCCTCGGGGGTGTTTGTGGCTTCTCAGCTGCCCTCAGACACCCTTGGGTTGTCTGGGGGCTTCACTGGCACATCAACAGGTTCTGGGGTTTTGCCTCAGGTTTGCCAGGGCCTGGGGTCACTGCAGAGCTTTGTCCTTGAGGAGAAGCTGCAGGGGTGGCTCTGGGGAAGGTGGCTGGAGCAGGAGCAGGGGTAGCAGAGGGGATGGTGGGGTCGGTGTTACAGAGACTGTCAGTGACTCACACTCGGGCTTTGGGGCTTCCCTGGGGATTCTGCTCCTTGTTTGTCCCTGCTGTTCATCTCCAGCCTGGTCCTGCTGAAGGCTCATGCTCAGGGCTGCTTCCAGAGGCAGCTTCAGCCTCCACTTCCCTGGGAACCTCCCCTGTTTGCCGTGGTTTCCAGCCCATGGCCACAGGGGAGAGCTCTCGTGGTGCAGCAGAACCATCCAGTGCTGCTGCTCCTTCAGCTTGGCCACTGAGGTTTGTGTGCTGGGTGCTGCTGGACATTCTCCATCTGCAACACCTTCTGCTTTAAATCCAAAATTCAGCTGTCAGGATTTCTAATTTAGTTGTTCTGTGCATGGAACAAAATAACTCCACACTGGCAGTGGGACAGATTCCTGTCTGTTCCAAAGATTCCTTCTGCACCAGGAGCCTTCAGTCCCATCTCAGAGGGGTGGAAACACTCAGGATTTTCATTTCAAGGCCATTGGATGGGGCTTGGAGCAGCCTGGCACAGAGGGAGGTGTCCCTGCCCATGGCACTGAATGGGCTTTAAGGTCCCTTCCCACCCAAACCATGGTGGGATTTCAGGGCTTGTGTTGGATTTTGTCACTGCTCAGAACTGAGCGTGGAATGGCCCAGCCCCTCTCATGTTTTTATTTACAACCTCTCTGTGTAAAGAAAGCAGTGAAACCCCAAAGGCTCCTCCAGGCCTGTGAGAGTCCCCTGAGAGCAGGGCCAGCCCTCAGACAGCCCAGCTGGGCTTCAGGTCCCTGCTGGGAAATGTTCCTGCTCACTGCAGCCAGACCTGGTCATTGCCACAGATTCTGCCTGCCTGCAGAATTCCCTCTGCTCCGGGGCCACCCAGGGCTGGCACAGGGGCATGAGGGGCACCAGGTGCCCTGCGCACAGACAAGCAGGAAACATGATTATATATTATATATAATGTATTATATATTATATATTATATATTATATATTATATATTATATATTATATATTATATATTATATATTACATTATATCATATATTTAGGGATTATATATTGAGGACTGGTAGTTTTTCAGACATCCGAGTTCTTGAGTGATTAAATGGATAAAACAAACTTTTTTCTTTTAATTTCTGTGTACAGTTTTAAAGTCCACAGTGTTTGACAGGAAGGCTGTTATTAACCCACCACCCAAGTTTGTTTTGTAAGGGATTGATTAGACATTTTTCAGTGTAGAAACCAAGTATTTTATTATTTTCTAAATATTAAAATTTATATTTTAATCATTAATAAAATATCTATTTTGATATATATTTATAATTATAAACCAGCCCAAATAAAATAAAATTCCTGGTCTCTGATGGCTTTATGGCCCTTGGGAATGCCCTGCTTAGGGGCTGCAGGAATATTGGGAGGATTATCTGATGAGGAGGGAAGGATTTCCCTGTAAAGCAAAAGAAACCCAAATGCCACCCACAAAAGCTGAAGGAGCAGGAGGACACTGGGAGCAATTGCAGTATCTCCCTGTCTTTATTCACCAAAGCCACAGCAGGAAATGTGGAGGCAAGAAACGAAGGCAAGGTTGAAATCTGAGAGTGGCAAAATCCATGGGGAGAAGCTTGAGTTTCTCTGCTGGATTGGCACTGGAGTTCAGACGTTTCTGGCAATTCTTCAGTTCATTTCCTGAGTTGTGAGAGTTTCAGCAGAGCAGTGTTGAGCTTTGGTGATTGCAGGGGCTCCAGGAGAGCCTGGGCAGCCCCTTGGGGCTGTTCCCTCCCTGCTGCTTTGCTCCCAGGGGGATGGAGCCCTGCAAACCAGGGAGCACAGGGAATAATCCAGGTGTGTGGTGTCACCCCTGGCAGAGGGGACACGGGGACACCTCTGGGTGATGGGAGTGGCTCCTGTGCTCCTGTGGAAACTGAAGGCAGGGGGTGCACAAAGCAGCTGGAGAATGTTCTTCACTGCCTCCCTTGTTGGTTGTTTCTCCAAAGAGGGCATGGAAAACCAGGTTTCCATGGAAAACCAGGTGTTCCTGCCTTGTGTGAGACTGCTCAGAGTTGTCTCCTCCTGGCTGCTTCAGAGTCTCCTTTGGGAATAATGTGTTGAGTGGAATGGATGGAACAAGTGGAGGGTTGAGAGCTGGGTGGGGTCTCCAGGTGTCCCCTGGGACCCTGGCTGTGCTCTGCTGCTGCCTCAGGG